ATGCCTGGGTTGCAGGCCAGTTCCCAGCAGGGGACGTGTGAGAGGCAACCATACATTGATATTTCTCTCTCTCTTTCCTTCCCTTCCCCTCTAAAGATAAATAAATAAAATCTTTTTAAAAAAGATTTTATTTATTTTAGTTTTAGAGAAAAGGGAAGGGAGGGAGGAAGAAAGGGAGAAAAACATCCATGTGTGGTTGCCTCTCACACGCCCCCTACTGGGGACCTGACCTGCAACCCAGGCATGTGCCCTGACTGGGAATTGAACCAGTGACCCTTTGCTTCACAGGCCTGCGTTCAATCCACTGAGATACATCAGCCAGGGCCATATTTCTAAAAATTGTCACCTAAACATATATCTATAGATTACTAGAGAGAGAGGAAGGGAGGGAGAGAGAGAGACATCGATGTGAGAAACATAGATCAGTTGCCTCTCATATGCACCCCTGACTGATCGAACTCACAGCCCATGTGTGTGCCCTGACAGGGAATCAAACCTGCAACATCTCTGGTGCACGGGATGATGCTCCAATGAACTGAGCCACCCAACCAAATATTCAGATTCTCTATTTGTTTTTAGTTAGTTTTGGTAGTGTGGTCTGTTTCTGTATTCAGCGCTTCTGATACCAATGTGTGGATATTCCACATCAAGCAATTTTTGAGAGTTCTGAGGACACCAACTGTGTGGCCTACAATTTGATTCAGTTCTGATACTACCTAGAGTTAGTGTGGATCCAGAAGGCTGAGGTTGAGGCTTCATTCTCACATGACTGCCCGCTGTTTCAGATACTAACCTCAAGTAGTGGGTCTCCAGGTTATCCAAACCTCTCCATTTTGGCTACAAATCCACAGTTCTCACGACCCCTTCTTCAGGCTTCATAATTTGCTATAGTGGCTCACAAAACTCGGAAATTCTTTACTTACTCTTATAGCTTTATTATAAAGGATATTGTAAAGGATACAAATGAACAGCCACATGAAGAAGCACATAGGTGAAAGGCAAGAAGGGTCCCAAGCACAGGAGCTTCTGTCCCTCTGTGGCGCTGTGGCTGCACTCGCCAACCCGGCAGCTCTCTGGATCCCATCGTTGAGAGCTTTTAAGGAGCTTCCACTACCTAGGCACGTTCACTGGCGTTGGTGATTAACTCAGTCTCCAGCCTCTCCCCCATCCCTGGGGGTCATGAGTAAGTGGGGTTGAAAGGTGTAGTCCTCTAATTGTAGGGCTGGTTCCTCTGGCAACTAGCCCCCATCTGAAGCTCTCTAGGGGACCAACAAGAACCATCTCATTAGCATAAACCCAGGTATGATTGAAAGGGGCTTATTATAAATAACAAATTCCTCGCCCCTATTACTTGCTAAATTACCAGAGTTTTTGGAGCTCTCTGCCAGAAACCAAGGACAAAGACCAGATATATATATACTTCTTATTATATCAAGACATTGCAGCATGTTTATAGGAATTTGTCCGTTTCATTTGTTATCTAATTTACTGGCATGCTATTGTTCATGATACTTAGATTCCTTGTTTCTGTAAGATTGGTAGTAATTTGCCCTGGCTGGTGTAGCTTAGTGGATTGAGCATGGGCCTGTGAAGCAAAGGGTCGCAGGTTTGATTCCCAGTCGGGGCACATGCCTGGGTGGCAGGCCAGGTCACCAGTGTCAGACACATGAGAGGCAACCACACATTGATGTTTCTCTCCCTCTCTTTCTCCTTCCCTTCCCCTCTCTCTAAAAAATAAACAAGTAAAATATTAAAAAAAAAAGATTGGTAGTAATTTCCCAACTTTCATTTCTGATTTTAGTAATTTGAGTTTTTTCCCTTAGTCAACCTAGCTTTTTCAATTTTGTTGACTTTTTCAAAGAACCAATTTTTGGTTTCTTGATTTTCTTTTTTCAACCCATTATCTCCACATTAATCTTTATTTTTGTTCCTTCTTCTAGCTTTGGGTTTAGTTTGTTCTTTTTGTAGTTCCTTAAGATATTCACCTAGGCTAACTTAGAATTTTGTTTCCTTTTCTTTTTTCTCTCCACCTTCCCTCTTCCTGCCCTGCTCCCCCCTCCCCCCGGCCCATCTTGGAAGGGAGGTAGAAAGAGCGGGAGAGAAATACTGATGTGAGAGAGACATTGATCAGTTGCTTCTCCTACACACTGTGACCAGGGACCGAGCCCATGACCCAGGCATGTGTCCTGACTGAAACTCCAACAGGCGACCTTTCTCTTTGCGGGAGGACACTCAACCAGTCAGGGCAAGGTTTTAATGGAGGCATTTACAGCTATAGGTTTTCATCTGAGTCCTTACTGACCAATGTGACTCAGCTGGTTGGGCATTGTCACGCAAAGTCAAAGGTCTCCAGTTAGATTCCTGACCAGAGCACAAGCCTGGGTTGGGAGCCCGGTCCCTGGTTGGGGCATATATGAGAGGCAACTCATGGATGTTTCTCTCACTTGTCTATGTTTCTCTCCCCCTCTTTCTCCCTCCTTTCCCCTTTCTCTAAAAATAAAAATAATATCTAAAATTTTTTTCATCTCAACACTATTTTCACTGTATCTCATAACTTTTAGTACGTCGTGTTTATTTATTTATTTTTTCCCATTACCATTAGTCTGCTTATACCCCTCTCCCCCCACAATCACCACACTGTTGTCCATGTACATGAGTTCTTTTTTCTTTTTGCTCAGTCCCTCCATCCCCTAAACTCTCCCCCTTAGCCGTCATCCTGCTATCTATGGGTCTGCATTGTGTTAGTTTTTATTCATCTCAAGGCACTTTCTAATTTCCCTTGTGATTTCTTCCTTGACTCATCTTTTATTTGAGTGTTATTTAATTTCCACATACAGTTTTCCCCCTACATCCCTACATCTGCAGGGAATTGGTTCCAGGACATCCCTCCCATACCAAAATCTGCAGATGTTCAAGTCCCTTACATAATAGAGTTGTGGCAGTATTTGTGCATAACCGATATCGTATACAACAGCTACAGTGGGTTATACCTCTACCACTTTATTCATGTGGATTCCATACATTGCTCAGTGTGTGGCAAACTCAAGTTTTGCTTTTTGGAACTTGCTAGGATTTCAAAAAAAGTGTGAATTTTTAAAAAAGATTTTATTTATTTATTTATTTTTAGAGAGAGTGGAAGAGAGGGAAACATCAATGCGTGGTTGCCTCTCAGTGCGCCCCCTACTGGGGACCTGGCCTGCAACCCAGGCAACGTGCCCTAACTGGGAATCTGAATCGGATCATCAACCCTTTGGTTCTCAGGCCAGCACTCAATGCACTGAGTTGTACCAGTCAGGGCTGTGATTAATTTTTAAGTTTATCCCATTGTGCTAGGAAAAGATATTTTGTATGACTTCAGTTTTTTAACACTTAGGCCTTGTTTTATGGCTTAACATATGGTCTCCAGTTTCTCAACTTGACCCATGAACATGAATCTTCAGAGGTGAAATCACTTGCTGGAGGTTTAAATAAGTGAATGTGTATTTATTTAGTTATAGAATTAGGAGTAGAACCCAGGTATTTTGATTCTGTCTTCTATTATTGAAATTTGATGTTCGTTTAAAATGTGAAGGGGCTTAATTTGTAATGCAATAAGGGGCCACCCAGTCTCCTTTGTTGGGATCTTCTGCTTTCACCTCTCTCTTAAAAGTAGGTATTCTCCAAGGTTTTGTGTTTGGTCCTCTTCTACCTTCCCACACTTTTACCTGCTTCCACGGCAGTTTCCCTTCAGGTGGGAAGGCCATTCTCCCTTTTTTTCCAGTTCCATGCTGGTTTTCTCTACGCGGGTGATCTCTGAGAATCTTAGAACCAACATGCGCTAAAAGGAACTGTTCTCTCTGCATTTCATCAGCAAACTTTCCTGACATCTCCCCTCATTTTTTTTTTGTTGTTGTTAATGGTACTGACATTCATTATCCTAGTCACTCAGGAGGGAATATGGAAAATCAACTTTAATTTTTTGGCCCTCACAAGATCCCATCAGCTACAACTCTTGTGGCCTCTCTCTGTACTCCTATTTCCCCTTTCCTTCCTGTTTTCACTGCTACCATTACCTCTTGCCTGTATTATTGTAATAGCCTCATAATTTATCTTCTTTAATCACTATTATACCTTACTTTTTAATCTTTCTAAAGTATATGTTGTTGGGTAAACGATGATGGTATCATCCTCCGTGAAAAAAAATCATTAAAAAATAGCTTTCTTGTGCCCACTGAATAAGGTGTAAGCTTCTCAGCTTGCCATCCAAGGCTCCTAATAATTTATTTCTAAGCTTTTAATTCTACATTGATTGCAGATCTTACTACACAGCTTATGTCCTAATTATCTGAGCTTCAGTCTTGCAACCGATGTCCTATCGAGTTCAAGGTGCTGGGAAGCCAGTGGGACGCAAAACAAACCAGGTCCTCCTTCCTGTCTCTTCAATCTCAATGTGATGTGGGTCCCAGTCTTCTGCACCTTGCACTGCGGACCAGGCTTCTTGGACAACTACCCTGTTCCTATCCATAGTGGGCCTAAACCCAAGAAGGCTAAAGCACAAGAGAAGAAAACGATTGGCCAGGGTGAGGCCGTGGTGTGAAAACTGGAGTTCCTTTTCCCCTACCAATTAGAGCACGGCCCAACTCTTTACCCCGGGGTTAAAAAAAAGTCTGGGAAAGGCCCGGGACTAGGTACGGCTGAGAAAACAAGGGCAAGGAGTTGGTTTCAGGGAGGAAGGTCTGGCATTAAAAAACCGTTACAGCCTTTCGCTTTCACTGGTTTCCTCTCTTCAGGAGCGATCCAGACTGGCCACGCCTCAGGCCTTTTTCGTTCTCCCGGGGTCGCTCTTCCTTCCCGCAGTCGCAGTTCCCGCCTAGGATCTCCCGCACCAGCAGGACTCCCTGGAGGAGGGGCGTGTAGCTAGTTCCAGCCTCATCCGTCCGACCTCCCGGACCGCCCCCCGCGCCAGTTGCCAGGGAGCGGTTGCCATAGAGCTAAGCAGTTGTCCGCGTGCGCAGGCGGAAGTCCCGGATTGAGACGCCGCCATTTTTGCTGCTCGGACGCGGAGCGAGAGGCTGAGAGAGTCGGAGACGCTATCCGCTTCCATCCGTCGCGCAGACCCTGCCGGAGCCGCTGCCGCTATGGATGATCGGGAGGATCTGGTGTACCAGGCGAAGCTGGCCGAGCAGGCTGAGCGATACGACGGTGAGTTGGGGGGTCAACTGGGGGCTGGAATTCTCGGACCCTCTGCCGCCGCCCATAGAGACTGGGAGCAGGAGACAAAATGGCGGCATAGTCTCCAAGCCTGGCTCGGGGACGTGGATTCGGGAAGCAGGAAATGGCCTGTGGTCTCCGGGAGCGGTGGGAGGCCTCGGGCTTAGGAATTTGACCCCTTAAGTGTCCTCAGCTGCAGACACTTGCCTGCCCAGAGGCACAGGCGATAGGGTGGAGGAGTTGGTTGTAAAATGGCGGCTGGGGGGAGGGCGAGTCCCCCGGCGAGGGAGGGGGGAGGAGATGGCGGGTCCTGTCTCCGAGCGAGCAGTCTTTCGGGGAGCTTCTGGCCGGTCTTGGGATGTGAACAATTGAGTGGGGTGATGGGGAAAGAAACATTCGTCACTTGGGGGAGAGTGGCGACCAGGACCTGTAATGCGGGCGCCTTTCAGGGAAACATGGCGGTTGGGGGCGGTGGCTTTTCCCCGGAGGCCCAATGTGGGGCGGCGGCTGTGGAGTCTCACAAAGGAGAAGCGTAGCGAGCGGAGGTCTTTGGGCGAGCACTGAGGGCAGTCTTGAATGAGGCGGCGGAAGGGGAGAGGGTTGGAATCACTGCAGTTCATCCTTGGCTGTGATGCTGCGATCGTGTTATCTTTCCCCTAGGCCGGCACACCTTGGAGTGAGGGTTTACGGTCAGCCTCGCCTTCTTCTGGGGAGGCCTAGGAAAACCTTCCTCACACCCCCTTTCCTTAGACTTATCCCGGGGAGTTCGAAGTTCCTGTAATTATTTTGTGTTTCCGTAAGCTGTGAGTTCTGGTGGATAAAACATTGAGCAGAAAATAAGGAGACCATGATTCGTAGTCCTTTCCCAGTGCCTGTGTTAGCACTTCGTGAAAATAATGACTTGGCTCTTTCCACGCACCATTGTGACAATTGGAGAAAGACCTGTTGAAAAATAAAGTTATTTCGAATAATGTTTAGTAACTACATTTTGGTTGATTGCCCGGGCTTGGAATGCGTGTTCATACCTCATTTGGCATCTTAATTTATCCCAAGCACTCAACTGAGGCTTGGGTTTTGGGATTTTGAATAAGGGGGTTCCCATTCTCTCCATTTGGAATAAATTTTATGTACAGATTTGAACAATTTTTCTTGGTTCAGTGCTCCGTTGGCCGTAAAGATTTCTTTCGTCATTTTTTACAACTTTATCGAATTGTCCATTGTTTCTGTGTAGTGACTTCAGGCTGCTGCTTTTCAAAAATTGCCCCTCCCCCCATTTCGGACCGAGGTACTTGAATTACCTCCACATCCGTTAAAATGTAGTATTATAAACACAAAAAAATCATGTATGTGGTTTCTCTGGTTTTATTGCTGTTGAGACATGGTTGGAATCAAGTGCCATTGAGCTGTAGTAGTTTTTCTTAACTACTAAACCACCTATTTTTCAGTGTTCTGTAGGACCATTGCTTTCCTTGAATGCTTGTCGCGTGAATAGCCTCAGGACTAGTACCATGCATTAGGATTCAGGAATTTGAAAATGAGAAAAGGATTTAAACTCGAACTTGGGGAAGATACTGCACTAAATTTTGTTTTGTAAGTCCTTAAATTGCTATTTGTATTGAATAAGGTTCCTGTTGAGAGGGGGAGGGGAGTAAGATGGGCAGTACAGCTCAAGGTCAGATTTGTCTTTATTTCATGTTTAAAAGTCAAACACAAGTAGGTGTCCTCTTAATGCAATTTTTTTTCTTTTCCCCCTCCCGTTCCAAACAGGTTCTCCTCTTAGTCTGCAAATGTCCTTGGGAGGAAACTTGAAATTATATTTGAGTGCTTTCTGTTCTGTAGGGATTTTAGGCTCTTAATAACTAAAAAGAACAGGAGGAAGGTTTTTAAAAAAATTTGTTTTGAGAACTGATTTGGAAACCTATGATTGTAGTTTCCAAATAAGTGACATTTTAGTGATAATCATATTTTGGGGTTGAGTGATGAGGATTTTTTACCAAATGTATTACTGGTTATTCAACATAGCACTCTGTAGATAGAGCCACATCATTCTATGTGCTTGGGTTTCTCCTTTAGAATCAAAAGGGGGAAGGAAGTATGTTCTTCCAGGTAGAGAGGAACTCCTGTGACTGTTGGGCACAAGATAGAGAGGGATTCATGGGAAGGGAAAAAGAGGAAGACAGTTATCAGGAAGCAGACTCTACCTGTGTCCACTCCTTTATTGGGTACAATAATTCAGTGTTTGTGGTGACAAAAAATGAACCCATAGTTTTAGTCACACATTCATCAAGTGTGTTGAAAGAAGGTGAGAGTGTATTTGAATGATTTTGGGTACTTGGATATAAATACTGATTTTTCTCATTGTTCCTGCAGTACTTTAATCTTCTATTTTGCATGCTGTGTTGAATCTAATATATAAACTTCGTGGCATCAGTTAACTCTACCCTGGGGAATTGGAATTAATTTGTATGATTTATTTAAAGGTACTGGAGCCCTGCCTGGGTTGCTCATATGCCAGAAGGCTGCTGGTTTGAACCTTGCTCTCCTCAGGATGCATACCGGAGGCAACCAGTGCATGTTTCTCTGTAGCATGTGTTTCTCTTTCTCCCTCCCCCTTCCTCTCTCTAAAGTCAGTAAATATATGTCGTCGGGTGAGGATTTTTTTTTTAAGTGCTGGAGGAAGAGCTAAGATATGTTCAGCACAAGAACAATTTTGAGTTACAGATAGGAGATACTGAGATTTGAGGCTATGACTCTTTACCTTGAAGATTAAATCTAGCGTTGCATCACTTAAAGTCGGTAGTCTGAGGGGTAGTTTTTATAGCATTCCTAGCCGTATTAAGGAAGTCTGTGACCTTACAGCATTCCTGAACTAAGTCTTACTCTCCCATCTATGTGATTCACGATAGTACAGAAAAGTGGAGATTACGGGGGACAGTGAGTATTTTAACTTTTTTTTTTTTTGAGGGTAGAGGGATCAGCATACACTGTGTTTGGGTTTGTAGGGTAGTTGCTGCTTTTGTCATTTTACCTTCTTGCTGTAATGCTTGGCTCCATATAAGTTTCGATGGTCACTTTTGATTTCACTCTGTACGAAGGCATCAATATGAGGAATACATCTGTCCTGAGTTACTATTAGAGCTATCCTTTAACAGTACCACCGCCTCATCTCTAATTTACTGTTTTAGTGAGGGGTTTTGAATTAACTTGTTTATATATGTCTTGTGAATTAAGTTTAATAATGAGTTAAAAAACAGGTTATCAGTTCTTGAGTGTAGGGCAGTAATTTTATTGCTATTTTATTGTTGAAATTAATTGCTATTTCAGTTAATGGAGTTAACTTTATTGAGTGTATTTTTTCTCCTTTCTAAGTAAAAGCAGAATTGGCTAATAGAGTTTTTAAAATCTCTCCTGATAGCCTTCAGTTTTCATATTATAAGCAGATGCTTTTTTGTGTATACTGTAGATTTTTTGTATAGTATTGTGCAAACTTCAATCTATTGTGTTGGCTTATAGCACTGGAATATAATGTAGTCATGAATCATTGCAATTTGAGTCAAATTCTTACTACCGTGGACATTCTTAGACACGCATTTTCAACTTTATATGAAAAGATCTCAATTTAAATTCTGGTAGGGAAGGAATACTTATAACAAGTATTAAACTGAGCAAAATATAGACTCAGTAAGTACAAGGAAACACATTGAAAGTCTATATAAACAGGCTTTTTTAATTGTTTCATAGCTTGGTCAAAGGAATGTGTTTTAAAAATTTCTGTAACCTGGTACAGCAAGTGAAATTTCTGCCCAGTGTATTAGTGTATCTAATTTTACAGATGAGGTTTAAATTTGTAAGAAGTGTATCTGAAAGCTTTAATATATATTTTAAATTACTTTTGTTGTTCAATTACAGTTGTCTCCATTTTTCTCCATTAATGCTCCCCTGCCCTAACCACCCCCTAGAAAGCGTGCATATATTTATTTTCTAAGATTTTACTTAATTTTTTTAGAAAGAAGGAGAGAAATATCAGTGTGTGGTTGCCTCTCACATTCTCCCATCTGGGGACCTGGCCTGCAACCCAGGAATGTGCCCTGACTGGGGATCGAACCAGCGACTCTGGTTTGCAGGCTGGTGCTCAATTCAGTGAGCCACACCAGTCAGGAATATATATATGTAGGTATATATGTGTGTGTGTGTTTATATATGTTTATATTTTAAAAGAGGAGCCCTGGCTGGTGTAGCTCAGTGGATTGAGCGCAGGCCTGGGAACCAGAGGATCGAGGTTCAATTCCCAGTCAGGGCACATGCCTGGGTTGTAGGCCAGTTCCCGGCAGGGGACACACTAGAGGCAACCATACACTGATGTTTCTCTCCCTCTCTCCTTCCCCTCTAAAGATAGATAGATAGATAGATAGATAGATAGATAGATAGATAGATAGATAGATATTTAAAAAATAATAAAAGAGGGCCATAAGGCTCATATTGCCAGACTTTTACCTTATATTTAAGAAAAGTGTTTAAATAGTAATGATAGTCATAGGATAAAATAAAAAAATTTAACTACATAATGCCATATATATAGAGAACTTCATTCTTCATAGACCACATTCACAAAATTTTTTACTTTTTTCATATAACATTGATGTGTAGGTAATGTTACTGCCATTTCATGCTTCAGGAAAGTGAATTTGAGAATATTTATCACATGACTAATTGACTAGTAAATGGCAGAGCTAGAAATTGTCTTCTGACTTTTAGACCAGATAAGTATTTTCTCCTGAGCCACTCACAAAAGACCTATGTGTAATTAAGATGGTGCCCTGGGGGTGGTAGTAGAACTGCATATTTTTTTAGCAGTTAACTTCAAATACTATGTCTTTGTGTTTATGACTGACTAGTATCTATTGAAATAGTAGGTAAAGTAGCTTCATACTTTTCTAAAAAAACACTTCCAGGCACAGTGAAATTAGGGTGAGGATTTTAGGTAATTTCAGAATGTTTGCTTGCATACAGTTTCCTTGGTTTATCACAGTGTTTGTATTGGGATATGGCTAAGGCCATGCATTTCTGTAAAGTACTTTTGAAAACATTTCCCCCTTCACCTTTGTCTTAATGGATTTAGCCCTTAAGTTACTGATGTAAACAGAAAACTTAGAAGGGAGAGAAAGGTTGGTGAATGATTCACAAATGTTCTAAGCAATAGCCTAATAGTTGTCAAACAGATTCCATTAAGGGTTAGTGAGGAATAGCAACATAAAATAGTTTACTGGTTTTAAAAAAATTTTTTATGTAGCCCTAACTGGTGTGGTTCAGTGGGTTGGGCATTGCCCTGGAAAACCTAAAGGTCACGCCCTGACCAGGGATCAAACCCACAACCTTGGCATATCTGGACAGTGCTCTAACCGACTTAGATACACAATCAGGACTGTTGACTGTTTTTGAAATGGTCAGTTAACAGTTTGATACAGTTAAATATTGATATCCAAGTTGACACATTGGTTTGTCAACATAACTCAGGTTTGAACTCATTAACTATTCATGCCAGTCACATTCCTAAAACAATTTCAGCTCATTTAAATTTACTAAATTGTATTGTAAAAGTGTGTCTTTTTCAGTAAAGTAACACATTTTTCATTTTCACCAATAATTTTATTGATTTGGATATTTTGAATATGTTGGCTGTTTCCTGTGTGGTAGTATGTGCTTGATTGACCTCAGTTATGTCTCGATTTCATTGTTGTCAACTTCAACTGGTCTACCCACTGTGGAGTATCGTCCAGTGAGAAATCTCCAGCACCAAACTTCGCAAACCACTCTTGACACGTTCCATTAGTTACAGCAGCACCTTTTTCACATACTGTGTGTCTTTTTTTGCGTTTCAGTTGCATTTTTACCTTTTTTGTTTTTTTGTTTTTTTAAAATATTTTTATTTATTTATCTTTAGAGGGGAAGGGAAGGAGAGAGGGAGAGAAACATCAATGTATGGTTGCCTTTCGTGCGTCCCCTGCTGGGAACTGGCCTGCAGGGAACTGGTCTGCAACCCAGGCATGTGCCCTGACTGGGCTTTTTTGAAATAATAAAGCATAATATGCCGAAAATGTTGTGTACTTTCTTTGATCTTCAAAATTAAAATGGCTACATAACAATTCACCAATTTTGATAAGTTTCTTTAAAAAGCATGCTGGTCTGACAGTTGTCACAATACAATCTAATAGTTTTTTCGAATGAACATGTTAAAGACAACTAAGTGCTATTAATTCCATCTTATGGAAAAAACCAAATGAACTTTTTGGCCAACCCAATAACAACAAGAGCCATAAATAATAAAAGTCATAATTTACCATCCAAATCTGGATACCTTGAAATGAAGGGGTACCAACATATAATAAGTGCTGTATGTATAAACTGGGATTGTTCTGAGCTGTGAACTTGCCTCTGTAGTCAATTTATTTTAAGGCCATTTGTTACTACTAGTTGTTTCGTTTAGAGATTAATAATAAAAGTTTCTTAAGCTTTGTCCATGCCTCTGCCACAGAGATATCTTACATCTAAGTCTTCAGATCGGTTTTCTTGCTTAAATGAAGTCAACGTTTGCCAGAACTTAGGAGCAGTTAGAGGTTAAGTTTCCTCCTCTTAGTCCTCCAAATGGGAACTGGAAAAGCCAAGGGTATGGTAGTTTGCTGAAAATAGAACTTGCTGGCATATGAAGTAGTCACTGAGTGATACTGTCAGAGCCAAGTATGTTGGTTTTATGTATGTCTACCTTGAACAGATCTGTGTTTAAAAATACTTGACTTAGCCCTGGCAGGGTGGCTCAATTGGTAAAGGTATTTTGTCCAGATAAACCGAGGTTGTGGGTTTGATCCCTTCAGGGCACATACAACAGACAATGAATGCATTAATAGGTGGAACAACAAATAGATGTTTCTATCTATTTCTCAAATCAACAAATTAAAAGAAAAAAGTTAGGTCTTAGTGTCTATCTTAAGGTCAGAACTTCTCCAGAAGCATTTTTACACCTTAATCCACACTCTGTTATGACTATTCTTTTTAGACCATCAAATCCGTGTAGTTTAGAAACAAATGACCATGGTCCTGGTTTATCTTTTTTTTTTTTTTTAATTTATTTATTTATCTTTAGAGGGGAAGGGAAGGAGGGAGGGAGAGAAACATCAATGTATGGTTGCTCTTTGCTCATCCCCTGCAGGGAACCGGCCTGCAACCCAAGCATGTGCCCTGACTGGGAATCGAACCGTGATTGTCTAGTTCGCAGGCCCGAGCTCAATCCACTGAGCTACACCAGCCAGGGCCGGTTTATCTTTTTTGAAATTTAATTTGACTTTATTATCCTTCTTCTAATGATATCACAATAGCTGGACAGATCTGTCATTGGTATAGGCTTGATTTGTGATGAGGTCAGGATTTTCTCTAGCTGAATATGAAAAGTGTTTAAACTTTTCATTCATATCTAACATAATTTTTAAAAGATTTTATTTCTTTATTTTTAGAGGAGAAGGGAAGGAGAGAGGGAGAGGTAATTAATGTACGGTTGCCTCTTGTGCGTCCCCCGCTGGGAACTGGCCTGCAACCCAGGCACATTCCCTGACTGGGAATCGAACCACGATCCTTTGGTTTGCAGAACCACACTCAATCTGCTGAGCTACACCAGCCAGGGCATGTATAACATTCAAAAGAGACACATTACACTATGAATAAGAGTAACTGACTCACATTTTGTAAGATGCAAAGGCTTTGAAATCAGCTGAAGTTCTTGTTTGTAGAATGGGAATCAGTGATGCCGGCTAATTTATAGGGTCGTCATGAAATTGGGAGGTTTTGTAAGCTGCAAAGAATAATATTTGACTGGTTGTAGCATTATTGTGAGAATGATGTCTTTGCTATTGATTTATTGTGCTCAGATTAGAAGATAACCTACCTTTTTTGAGTTTTCCTTAGCAGGTATATTCATGAGTTTAGTCTATATGTTTATGTAAATATGGATAATTTTCAAAATAAAATTCTTAATCTTACACTAGAAATTTGCATATCCAGAAAGTGAAGGTTGTTTAAAATTATTTCTGAGCAGTATAATCTATACTTTGGCTATGTTGAGCTGATATGTAGTTCTTTTTTTTTTTTTAAGATTTTATTTATTTATCTTTAGAGGGGAAGGGAAGGAGAGAGGGAGAGAAACATCAATGTATGGTTGCCTTTTGTGCATCCCCTGCTGGGAACTGGCCTGCAGGGAACCTGCCTGCAACCCTGGCATGTGCCCTGACTGGGAATCAAACCGCGATTGTCTGGTTCGCAGGCCCGCGCTCAATCCACAGCTACACCAGCCAGGGCTGATATGTAGTTCTTTTGATACTAATTCCAAGAGACAGTAACACCTGTTGTCTATGGATTTGGGGTGAAAGGTAGGTTCCATAGTATGAAATGCTCAAGTAAATCAGTGCTAAAATATTTGCATGTTAGCAGTCCCAGATTGCTAAGAAAATAGTGACAGTACACCCGTACAGATGCCCCCACCTCCAACTGAAAGAAGAAAATAGTGATAGTACACCCATACAGATGTCCCCCCCCCACACACACACACTGAAAGAAGTATTTCTGTAAAACCTTTCATAAGCTGAAATGGTTTAAAGCAGGATGTCAAACTCATTTTCACCCGGAGGGCCTCATCAGCTTTGTGGTTGCCTTGAGAGGGCTGAAAGTAATTTTAGGACTGTATAACAGTTAAGCAAGAGCTCAGCACTGCTGCCAGGTAGAAGCAAGGTGCCAGGCTGGATAAAACAAGAGGGAGGGCCAGATTTGGCCCACGGGCCTTGTATTTGCCACCTGTGGCTTAAAGTGAAGAAGAAATTACCTTAGGACACATTTTGCTAAGGGATCTACAAAATAAGTGGATAACATTTGTAGACATGGTTCAAATGGTTCAAAGCATATGGTGGTTGGATGCTGAGTGTAGGTTACAGTAAGGAGCTTGTCTGCCACTCTCCCTGCTCTAGGTGTGTATTGCCTCACTGATGGCAAGTGCTGAGTGTTCTTTTTGCTTTTCACCTTTTTTCTAAAAGTGAAAATGCTCTTCGATTTCTTTCATTTAATGAAGATTGACACTAATAATGTAAGTCTTTCTTACATTATGAGATTTAAAAAAAGATTTTTATTTATCTTTAGAGAAAGGAGAAGGGAGAAATGGGAGAAACATCGACATATGAGAGATACATTGATCTGTTGTCTCTTGCATGCCTCCAGCTGGGGACGCGGCCCACCACAGAGACAAGTGCCCTTGACTGGGAATTGAACCAGCAACCTTTCAATTCCCAGGCCAGTGCTCAATCCACTGAGCCACACCAGCGAGGGCATAATGTAAGTCTTCCTTAAAGTGAAGTGATGTTGCCTTGGCTGGGTGATTCAGTTGGAATGTGATCCTTTTCACTAAAAGGTTGTGTGGATTGGATCCCTGGTCTGGGCACATACCTAGGTTGTAGTAGGTTCAGTGCTTAGTTGGGGTGCATACTGGGTGATTGTCTTCCCTTCCTTTCTTCTCTCCCTAAAATGAATAAATAAGCCCTGGCTGGTGTAGCTCAGTGGATTGAGCACAGGCCTGTGAACCAAAAGATGGAAGTTCAATTCCCCGTCAGGGCACATGCCTGGGTTTGCAGGCCAATTCCCAGCAGGGGATGTACCAGAAGCAACCGTACATTGATATTTCTCTCCTTCCCTCCTTCTCCCCTTCCCTCCTTCTCCCCTTCCCTCCTTCTCCCCTTCCCTCCTTCTCCCCTTCCCTTCCTTCTTCCCTTCCCTTCCCTTCCCTTCCCTTCCCTTCCCTTCCCTTCCCTTGATAAATAAATAAAATAAAATATTAAAAAATAAATAAAATGAATAAACATGTCCTTGGGTGAGGATTAAAAAATAAAAGGGGAAGTGTTAACATGAACTTTCAGAAAATTGGCAATACCTGTATAGTAACTGATTTTGTGGAATGTGATTCTAAAGATTTAGCATAAGCCCTGGACAGTGAGTTCTGATTAATAGATACCAATTAATCTATGGTGGTTAGTCTTAAGGATTTTCTAGGACCTTGAAATGGTTGTTGTAAGCACTTTTGTGTTGTAGAATGTTAAGTGTCCTATTTAAGAATTTGTGATTTTATTTGATCAAAATAAGTTGTAAATTAATGAGTAAAAATTAATAATTGGATTACCATGGAAATTTCAAAACCTTGTCTACTTTGACTAGAAAATATCACAACAGCTGTGATTTTGTTTTTATAGATGTTTTTAAAAAGTATTAATACAAAATATTTTTCTGTGTGGAGTGAGCATTTTTCTCTACAACTTTTAAATGTACTACTATAAAAGTGCTAAAGTATCAATTGGGGTTTCTTAGCTGTTCAAAGACTTAGAGAAATAAATAAAATAACATAGAATGTGTAGTATAATTCTTCTCCTGAACTGTATAAGGGTTTTTTCTGTTTCTTTTTTGTTGTTATTGTATTCCAAAGCAGAATTTTTAGATATTTTGTTTTCTAATTCAAAAACTATGAGAAGAGATTTAGACTTGGAGCTCTTTTTCTTTTTTTCCCTCTCATACACATCAGTGTCTTAGGTCACTTAACCACCCTCACCCCCCACCTCTTACTTACTACCTTATTTCCTCTATACTACAGCTAACCACATTTGGCTGCCTGACAGTATCTTAAATTCTAAGGAGATATCTTAGTTTTGATGAAGGGGAATTTCCCTCCTGTTCCCCCAGTTTGAGACTCGTGGGGATGATACCTTTCTGCACTCAGAACTGTAGGACCTGCTGCATCTTTCTTCTTACAACTTTCTTGACCTTCACCTTTCCTCATTTCAGAATGCGATGTAAGTCTTGCTTCAGTCTTTTTTGTCTTTA